CATATATATATATGCCATTTTCTACTTTCTCTTCATCTAATGAAACTTTGTTTACCTGGAGAAATATGGATGGACAGAGAAGCAGATGCAACCTGGTGACAGCCGTATTCATCATCCTTCTGTCCTGTTCAGGAGGAACCTCCAGATGTGAAGCCTAACTGGCTTGTGTAGTTTAAGGCCTGGCCCAATGCTGGGAGATTTACCCTGCCCTTAGATCTTTCCTAGTCAACGCAAGGTGCTTCTAGGGCCCCAGTTGATGCTTGGGTCCATTTGTGTTCAGTGACGACTCCTGCCCATCCTGGGAAAAACTGGGAAACTGAAAGGAAGAACCAGAGGCTTTCTTAAGTCATTTAATCTAGAAATGATTTGCTTGGGCCAAACTCTAGCAAGGCAGAAGTCTGTACACATAAGATTCAGCCAGATCTGGTGGAGGCTTCAGAGCCTGCACAGCCATGTGGCTGTCGCTGCTGTATTAGGTGATACAGACTCTAGAACGTTTTCATCATCACAATACATCCTATTGGATTGTCCTGTTTTAGAACAGGGGTTGCAAATAGGTTCATCTCCTTTGTCACTTCTGATTGATTGGCATTGGCTGTCTGGAGGACTGTGTAAAGAAGATTGAGGCCGTATCTAAGTGAGCCCCGAATTGTTTGATTATTTACTAGCAATGTATGTCCTAGGAAGGCTGAGCTGGGTGGGTGGGGGTAGTTGTGGCATAGGTCCTGAGTGTCTTCTAGGTAAAACCACAGAAGTAAGAATAGATTATTTAAAATAGAGGGTCAGTTGTTATTATTTAAAGAGACAGGTTATATTTTTAGCAGGAATCCTTTGGAAAGAAAGATGAGAAGCTTTAAAAGTTTTGTTATTCTTTATATAATCTCTCATTTAAGTAGTGGTCCCTTTTGCTATTTTCAAAATAAATTAACAATGATGCTTTGCTTTTGTGTAGAAGGAAATCACAATAGCCACCGTTTTTTGGTTTATCCATGAAATAAGGAATTGATGTTACATGTAAAAACAAACCCCACCAGGGCGCCTGGGTGGCTCAGTCGGTTAAGCGTCTGCCTTCGGCTCAGGTCATGATCCCAGGGTCCTGGGATCAAGCCCCGCATTGGGCTCCCTGCTCAGCAGGGAGTCTGCTTCTCCCTCTCCCTCTGCCTGCCACTCCCCCTGCTTGTGCTATCTCTAGCTCTCTGTCAAGTAAATAAATAAAATCTTAAAAAAAAAAGAAACCCACCAGGAATCTAAAATTAGTTTCATGTTCATGCCACCTTTTACTATACCTGCTAAGAATCAGAACTGATTGAGGATGGGTTTTGGTTTTTTTTTCCACTTCTTTAATATGCTCTGGTGAAGGATATTAACAACACGCATATTGTTAACAAATGGGGAATAAAATTTAAGGCAAAAAAGGAAAAGCTGGTGTAGTTTGGTATAATCAATCCCTTTATAATCACTGTTGTCAGAATTTGAGTATATTTTCAAAAATCTCTAATAATTAAGGATAATTAAGGGTAACTGGGACTGTTTCCTACTAGTTTTAAAACTAGAAAATAGATTTTCTTTCTTTTTAAAGATTTTATATATTTGTCAGGGAAAGAGAGAGAGAGAGAAAGCACAAGCAGGGGGAGAAGCAGGTAGAAGGAGAAGCAGGCTTCCCGCTGAGCAGGGAGCCCGATGCTGGGCTCCATCCCAGGACCCTGGGATCATGACCTGAGCAGAAGGCAGACACTTAACCAACTGAGCCACCCAGGCGTCCCTAGAAAATGGATTTTAAAACAAGAGTACCAATTCTGCAACTGTTATGTAACCTTGAGCAAATTAATTACTATAAACTTTCTGAGCCTTAGTTTCTCCATCTCTGAAAGGGAGTATAACAGTATCTGCTTCCATGAGTAATGGGTAAGGGAGTGAGATATAAAACCTCACTTATAAGTGCTTGACATTAGTACTGCAAGACCTCAAATATTAAACCATGTCATTTGGGAAAAGTACACCACATGCACTTGGAGGAGAACGGTCCCTGTTCTCATCTTGGCCCTGCACTTAGTGGGTATTTTTAGTGCAGTTGTGATTTTTGTGCAATTGCTTACCCTTAGAGTTATCTAATTTTAGTTTCATCTTTTGTAAAATGGGGGTAACAGTAGAACCTGCTTCAGAGGGCTTTCTCAGGATTACACGAGATAATGCACATCAAGATGATGCAAGGACATCTGATACATGGCACACGGTGAACATTCAGTAACTTAGCTATTATGATGAAAATGATGATGTTTAAATTAGGGGTGGCCTTGCCAAAAGAGAGAAGATTCAACAAATCTGATATTTCTTCTCCTTCCCATTCACTAATCTCTAAACCATACAGTTTATACTAAACATGGTAAAGTGTGTACATTTTGTTTATTTTATTGCTGTTCCACTATAAATTATTAATAAGCCTCTTTTATTAGGGTTTTGGCACACTGACGGAGGCAGTAATTGGAGAAGCTGTTAGTTATCATAAAGACCTTTCTTACTCTGTAGTGTTTTTATAGCTGCAAGCTCATGTCTAATTTGAAAGGCCTGATGTTTACGGCCAGGGAGCAGGGCAAGAAGGAAGAAGGCTCAGTGTGGGGCAGGAGTGCATTCAGTCCTACAGGGAGCAGTTTGACTGTCTGACAACCTGACCTCTGTTGCCCCCGAGGTGCAGGAAGAAGGCAAGGCTCTTCAAAGACTCCAGGGACCAGAGAATACTACCATAACCTGCTCCGGTATCTTCCCTCCCCACCCTTTCTCTAGTCCCTATGTGTCTTCTTCCCCTGAGAGCAGCAGAAGGGGGTCAGAAATGATAAGCCAAGGTTAGCTTCTGAGGCTTCTTCTAAAGACAGGCCCATACTGGAGGGCACAGCCCGAGTGTCCTGGATCCCAGCCTCCACAAGCACCAGGAATCATTCCTGACCTATGGAAAACGCTTTCTTCCCCAGAAATATATTTGAGTCCTTTGGTGTGAAGAGCTAGTCCTGGGTTGTTTTCATGTACTGAGTTCTCTAATTAGGGATGAGGCGCTGTGCAGTTGCCAAAATGATTTATGTTTCTTTCAGAATGTTCAGATGAGGGGCACCTGGGTGGCTTAGTCAGTTAAGCGTCTGCCTTCAGCTCAGGTGATGATCCTGCGGTCCTGGGATCGAGCCCTGCCTCAGGCTTCCTGCTCAGCGGGGGGGCCTGCTTCTCTCTCTGCCCCTCCCCCCATCTCGCCCCACCTCGTTCATGCTTGCTCTCTCAATCTTGCAAATAAATAAATAAATAAATAAATAAATAAACAAATAAATAAATAAATAAAATAAACTTTAAAAAAAAAAAGAATTTTCGGATGAAGAAAACACGACAACGCTGCAGAATTCTTCTATTTATAAATGTCAAAATTACTAGGTTCTTAGGACATTTTTCTAGGAGAATACTTTTCCTGGAATGTCCATCTCCTATGCCACTTGGCTCTGGCGTCTCACACCTAACACCCTCCATTCGGCCCTGTGCCCTCCCCTCTTTTCAGCATCCTCTCCCTGTGCAACTGATTTTGAAATGTTTTTCCAAACGTCCTTTCTTTTCTGACTTCATTCTCATCTCACAGGTTTTAACTCACCTCACATCTGTATTTCTCATGATAACTTACATTTTCTCTTTTGGATTATAAAAGTAATCCATGCCCTTCACAACTATATATCTGTGTGTACGTGTGTTGAAGGAAACTTGGATCTGCTTTCTGTAGTTTCAGAGTGTGATTTTTTTTTTCTTTAACTTGAGATATCAGCATGGCTCTATATCATTAAGAATTCTTCGAAAAATTGTAATGGACACATAATACTCCCTCCTATGGACAGAGCAAAATTTACTTAACAACACTGCTAGCCATTTTGATCTTCCCATTTTCCAATATTAAAATCAATGCTTGTTTTCAAAATCTGTTCACAGTGTAGTGTTATGAGTAAGAAGATGGGCTTTGGAGTTCCAAAGACCATGGTCCAGATTCTAGTTTGGCCATTTGTTCCTAGGCCTCAGTTTCCTTCTTTGTAAATGGGGATTATAATGGTACCTACCAACAGAATTATGACAGTTTAAAACAGGGTATATATAATGTACTCATTTACACAGAGCTTCAGACATTGTAAGTTCTGCTAAATAGTAACTGCAGTTATAATAGTCACCATCGTTAATCATGGGCAATTAGTTTTTAGCACAGTTGCTAGAAGTTAGATGGTAGTACAAATACTTTGATACCTTTAATAATATATTGCCAAATTCTGGAAAGATTCTACCAATTTATAGTCACATAAATAGTATAAGTACATATCTAATATCACGCCTTGCCATTATTAGGTAGTATATTTTTTATTATTGTATATCCATGTATACAAAAAATGTTACCTTGTAATTTACATTTCTTTGATTGCCAGTGGAAATGACTAGTTTTAAATATTTAGTTGACTAATTATATTCCTTTTTTGTAAATTGTTTATGAGGGTCAGTGCCCATTTTTCTTTTGCCTGTGCATCTTTTTTCTAAATCAATGAGTTCTTTATATGTCATAAGAATCATTCTTCTTATGTATAACTAAAATGTATTGCGCATTTAGAAGTTGCAGATGAGGAAACAGGGCCAGAGAGGCTAAGTAGTTTGCCTAGTGTTTCAGACCCTTGCCTGGCACAGAGTAAATACACAGTAAACCCTTGCTGTCTTTGTTACTAATCTTTGTATTTCATGGCACCTGGCACAGTCCAGCACTTTGCACACAGTAGGGGCAGAATACATATGTGGTGACTTCTGTTGACACCAGCCACCCTCCCTTCTCCTCTTTGGTGTGCACAGAAGCCAGCCTTTAATAGGTGCCTTGGTCACAGCCACTGTTTTAGCTCAGATGAATCGGCATCTCCTGAACTCGACTTCATTTTCTCCATCTGTTTTTAATGATACTTTCCGAAAACGCTGTAAAATCAGGTTATTTCCCCTCACTTCATTTCTAGGTAACAAACCTGAATTTGGCAAGTGGCGTCATAAACAGAAGCAGTGCTTCAACCCCCCCCACCCTTCGGCCTGTCATCAGTCCTAGTGGCCCGACATGGTCAATACAGTCAGACCCCCAAGCTCCTGAGAGCCACTCCACCCCTCCTGGAAGCAGGTATGTGAAGGGTTGTGGAGTCATCGTTTTGGGTTACAAAGACAGCCTGGGTCTGAAGAGAGTCTTTCCCACCTTGAACTCCCTGCACTGATGCCTGGGAGACAGGTACCTTTCCGTCTGTCCTAGTACTCTGGCACTTGAATAGAGGGCCTCCTTTTACTCATAAGACAGTTTGCGGGCAAATCAAAGGCAAAGGAAATTTCTGATACAGTTCAGTAAGCTCACTTTGGGGTGAAAGAGGAAGAATTTGTCCTGTGTTCAATCCTTGCCTGTAGTCTACATTTTCTTGTTTTGACTTTTGACATTTTCTCCTTGTCTCCTCATTCTTGTTTATACCTTGTACTACATTTGCATTTCAGTAACTTTGGACTCTTTTTTTTTTTTGAAGGACATATTTGTTTTTTATATTTTCATCTAGGTTATGTAATTAAACTCAAAACAGTCTCCCTAGACAATGCGCATTTGGGAAGTGGGAAGGAAATGTCCTTTATGTAGTTGAGCAAAGTGGCAGAGGATAAAATCCAAATAGATTCTGGCCACAAAGTAAGCAACTTCTGAATTAGAAAAGAAGCCACTGTATTGAATTCTAGTCTTGATCCATATTTTAAGTCCCCTATTTTAAAAAAAACGTAAGAAATGGATTCCCAGTACATCTTGCATTAGTGGCTATTCAAAATGGGTTTAATTGCATCTGTCCCTGAGTGAAGTGAGCTAGAGAGGACTGTGACTGTTACGATGAAGTATTCTGTTCCTTCTGAATAAAGAAGCTCTTCCACAGATGTCCCTCCAAGTCCCCACCCCCGCGCCAGCTCTGTCAGCCTCTGCCAGCAGGCCACCTCTTAGCGTGCTGTCTTGCCTCGTGGTTGCAAGGGGCGGCCAAAGACCTGGGCATGAAGGAAATACCTGTTTGCTGTTGAAGTATCTGTTGGTGTTAGAATTATTACTGAAGGAACTAATTTGGGAAGCAGAGACTCTGCCCAGGAAGCAACATAAACATAAGCACATTACATCATGCTTGAGTACAGTGTCTTTCATACCAGTAATCGTGGTCAAGGGTGAAAAGAATCATCTTAACTGAAAGTTACAAAGAGTTGAAGACTGAGAGGCAGGACTGTTTCAGACGGGACATCCTCCCACGAAGTTCTCTTCGCAGAAGGCTGTCGTTTGGTGATTTACAGTCTACAGAATAACCACATTCCTAAAACATAAGTCTTAAAAAAGAATTCTGTTTATACCATAGAGCTTTATTTTCCATATAAAATATTTCCAAATATTCCATTTTCATTTTACAATCAGAGCCTTGTTTCTCTGGAAAACATGTTCCCTGCAATCTTGGGGATATTATCTGCCTATATGACAAGGCTGTAGCCATTTTCCATACTATAAACAAAATGTCAGAACTCCACATCATGACTGGGTTTAGAGACTTCTTTTGGTAGCACCTGTTTGGCAGTGCAGAAACCCAGAAAGGTGTGGGGATCCATCCAGGGCAGAGCCCAGACCTAGAGTCCAGCACTATGAATGGCCTTCTCCTAGCCAGACTGTGCTTATGAGCAGCAGGAAAATAGCACATTACACCACTGACTTCAGAGCCCTTAGCACCAGAAAGTGGCCCCTGCAGTCCCTGGGCCTTTCCCCTTTTGGGTTAGTTGTACCCAAAGCAGCCCTCTCGTCACCTGCTCTTCAAGCCGAAGGGCCAGTTGTAAGGTCCCATTTCAGTCTAGTGTAGCCCCGAAAACCTTCCTCTGAGCCCGGGTAACCTCTGGTTGCCAGAACAGCCTGGAGGCTCAGCTTGTGGAATTCCCAGAGGTGTCCACCCCAAAGCAGTGCTAAGTGAATTCTCCGGGCTCCTTCCAGAGCTGGCTGTGACCTGGGCCACAGCCAGACCTCCAGCAGGCATTCTACCAGTACCATACCCCAATTTCCATTTTTACCTGGTAAGTCACTGTTTTGTGGATAGTCTCTTGTTGCCCCTCTCTTAGTAGTAAGGGTGACTAAGTTCAATGAATATGGGATTAATAGCTTAGGGATCTGAGTTTTATGACTGGTTTTGACACTAAGTGACCCTAAACCATTCATTTAATCTTTTTATTGAATAAGCATACTTACGGATAAACCAGCCTGTTTTGAGAGCTTTTAGATTGCCCTTAAGGCACTTTGATCTCCCTGGAAGTGGGTGCTAAGTAAATAAGAGGTACTCTTACTAGTTCATCTACAATAGCAACAGTGGATTCCAGTGCTGATAAGCTCTGATAATTCCCTAAACCAGGGGCTGTCCTGTAAACAGTAACAAGACATAAAGAGAATCCTTCGCTGGCTGTGCTTTTCATCTGCATATTGGAGGATTCAGTGACTTGGTAGCCACAGGAATGAAAACTGGTGACTCACGAGAACTCTGCAAATAGTGTTATTTTTCATTTCCCTGTAGTGTTGCTATTGTTCTCAATTTTATGGCTCACACAAGTTTTCACCAGACAACCTTGTTCTTCCCCAGCTGTTTTGAACCCCCCCCCCGCCCCCAAACGCAGCCTCAGGGCTGTTGTCTCCCATTGGGTCAGTGTGAGCTCAGCCCAGCTCCTCAAATCCCTTGGTTCCTCTGGTCTGTCTGGAGTCCCTGTTCAAGCTTTGTTGTGGGAGAGGAAGGCAGAGAGCCCACGACTTGCCCAGACAGTCTGAGGCCTGGCCCTGTAGCTTGCCGTTCCCTAGACTCTCTGGAGCTGGACTTGGCCAGCCATTCCTCTGTTGTTACTTTTCAGAGGTAATAAGTGAGATTAATTGCAGGCCATTCTCCAGAAGAGAAAGTAGTCAGGGCCAAAATCAGTCACATGTTGAGAAGCCTGAGGTGTACCTCTAAGTGAGGCCGATTTAGAATTAGACAATAGGGCCTCCAGGATGCAGGTACCAAGTGTTTGTGACCTCTTTTTTCTTAAAGGGATCAATTTTGCTTTCTAGATGCAGATACCTGGGTATCTAAGCTTTTCTTCAGCCAATGAGATGGGTAGGATTTTTCAGGCTGCCTTTTAACTATACATTTTCTGGGCCCATGGGGTGTTGTTAGGGGCTGGAAGCCATACCAGAGGCATCTCCCCAGTACGGCCAGCCTTGCATGGAGTTGGACCACGTCAGGGAGGGGTATTTTCTAGGTGAGGAGCACTCAGCGGGCTCACAGTGCATCTTTCTTTGTGAGACCTGGAAGGGTTACTGTAAAGTCTTGGCTGCTGCTTGGAAGGATTTGGGAAGGACAGGGCCTCAGACAGCTTGGCAGGAACCTGAGTCCCTGTTTTTTTCCAGTCCAACCCTTCCTTGTGGATCGAGCTGTCAGGGAATCCCACGAATGTCTGGCTTCTGCCCCTTTGTATGTTTTTCCAGCATTTGTCATTGAATTATTTTTATCCATCTCTGGCTTTTTCACACATGCAACCTGGGGATTTGTCTGTTCCTCGATATTAAGGGTGGGGGAGCTTGAAAGCAAAGCCGTGAGTTTGTTACTCCTTTTTGCGACAGGGCAAGACATCATGGGCTTGGGGTGCTCGGCCTGGCTGGCCCCCACTCTAGAGAACAGCATGGGGGAATGGGGTACAGTGAAGCGCCAGATCTTAGAAGTTGGAGTATATTTCACGTCACTCTCTCTCTCTGCCCTCTCACTCTCCACAACTAAATTATAATGAGTTTGATACCCTACTTTACATAATTTATAGGAACAAGTTTTTCAGAGATTTTGATTCTAGTTTAGCTAATACTTTTCTCCCTTCCTTTAGATTATTTCTTACAAATGTTGCTGGACAGTCAGGTCTCTGACTTCCCATCTTTTCATTTTTAATCCTCAGTTTGTTGTTTTAGAAAAACAAAAATGCATCCTATTCATTTTCCATGTGTCAGGCATTTGGTTAGGCACTGGGGAGTCATGATGAATAAAACAGGACTGTGCCTGATCTCACAGAGCTTATAGTCCGTGGTCTATCTGTCATGTTCTCAGCGTAGTCCTGGGTGCTGGGTATGGCCTAAAATATTTGGAAGACCTAGTTTTTGATCACTCAGAGGTGACGATCTAGCAGAGAAAAGGAGGTATATACACATGAAACAGTTACAGAGTAGTGTCGAGGGGCATATAGCAAAGATTTCAATTTGACGGCACAGGCAATTAGAAGAAAAGATATCAAGAAGAGTGTGTAAGGATTTAATCCTGTCACCTGCTACAACATAGGTGAACCTCGAGGACATTATGATAAGTGAAATAAGCTGGTCACAGAAGGACAAATACTGTATCATTCCATTCATACAAAGTGTCTAATGTCGTCCAGATCATAGAAACAGAAAGTAGAAAGGTGGTTGCCAGGGGCTGCAGGGAGAGGGAAGAGGGAATTAACATTTAATAGCTACAGAGTTTCAGTTTTGCAAGATGAAAAAGTTCTAGAGCTCTGTTGCACAACAGTGTGAATGTACTGAACTGTACACACAGAAATGGTTAGATGGTACATTTAAACTTAGGTGTTTTTTACTACATTAAAAAGGAGTATTGTAAGGGCTTAAAAGAGAGAGCCCCTTAGTTCCACAAAAATTACATTTAGTGACTAAAATGGCAAAGTTTTGCTCCTATCCTCTGCCACTCTCTAGGGGGATTATCCTCAGCCTAGTCCTTGAAATGCTTCTGTTTCTTTAAGAGTGTGTTAACTTTATAGGAAAGGGGGCCGTTGACCCCTATGGGGAAGATGGCACGATGTAATAGTGAACTGTTGAGTTGGACGGACCTGGATGTGCCTTACTTAAGTATGTGACCTCGGGCAAATTATATTGCTTCTCTGGGCCACAATTTTCCCATCTGCTTAGATATGCAAATAATACCTACCTCATTAAGTTGTTATAAGATTTAATTGAGTAGTGTATGTGAAAGGAGCCAGTTTAGTGCCTGGTTTTGGTGTAGGTTGTCGATAACATTTCATTTTCTTCCCTGGAAGAAAAAAAGTTGAAATTGGACTTGCTTGGGATATGGTGTTGCTACC